TAGTGATCAGGCAGGTAGGAGCTTGCGGATTGAGTAAAATAGGCCTGGGGTGGGGGGTGGGTAGGGTAAGTGGGCCTGGGGCCGAGAAGGCCGGGATAGGGCCTGGGGTTTGGTGACTTTCAGGGCTGTCCGTGGGTGGTGCGGGGATTCGACCCTAAGCTTCAACCTCGACAGCAGTTGCAGTGGCCGCCACGGCCACTGCCGCTGCTAGGTTGCTGCTGTCCTCGGCCGCTGCTAGTGCTGTGGAGCCCACGTCCTCCACCAGTGGGGCTGTGGAAGATGGCGCCAGGGTTTCCGGCCGAGAGAAGGGTCGTGCCTGAGGAGTGATCAGCGCTGCCCAGGTCCGACTGTTGACGCTCGATGAGGAGGAGCACCGATCGGGTTTAAAGAAATTCGGGGCCAGCGTTTGAAACTGGAGGAAGGACGTTTGATTGCGTATGTCGTCTGGTAACCCCCGAAGGACTTGTAGCACTAGTTGTTGTTTTGAGACCGGGGCATCGACATCGTCCAACCAATCGGCTAAGTTTCTGAGGATTTGACAATAGGCCGACATGGTGAGTGAGCCTTTCGTCATGGTCCAGAATTGGTGCTCCAATTGCATTGCCCGGGCAGGTTTGTTGTCGTGGAAGAGAGAGTGAATAGATTTCCAGAGTTCCATCGCAGAATCTGTTGAGGAGAGGACAAGATTAGAAACTTCATCATTGATCGTGGAAAAAATCCACCCCTGGATAAGTGCATCAAGTTTGTACCATTCGGTGTCATCGGCGCTAGAGGGGGCCGATTTGCCGGTGAGAAAATCGTCGAGGGAGAAACAGCGTACCAAGAGTAGGAACAAGCAGATCCACTTTCTGTAGTTCGGCTCGGAGAAGCTCCAAGAGGATCGGGACATGAAGCTTCACGTTAGAGATGGTTGTGAACGCCAAGTGAGGAGTGGAGGGAGGCGTGGTGGCAGATTTCTCGGAGGCGGGGTTCTTCTCGGACATGGTGACAGCGCGGCAGAAGAGAGGAGGCGCTGGAGAAGCTGTCGCCGAGGGAGAGAGACGCACGGCAGGGACGGCGTCGGTGCTGGAGAGGGCAGAGAGGAAATGGCGGCGCTGAGGGGGGGCGGCGCTGAGAGGAGAGGCTGCCGCTGGGGAGAGAGGTGGCCGCGAGAGAGAGAAGCCGAGGGGGAGGAACGACGTTAGGGTTTAGGTCTCGGAAAGAGACTCCGATACCATGAATATTTTAGGGAGGATATATTCGAAAGGTTGCGGATCTTATTAAAGATGGAGTTTGGGACTGGCAAACTATTGATTCCGTTTTCGAAGTTCGGGACCGTCGACTTATTCAAGCTATTCCTCTCTCACACTCTGCCCAAGTTGACAAGCTCATTTGGGCTAGGGACAAGTCAGGTTTGTATTCGGTTAAGAGTGCATATCGTATGCTAACATGGGATGAGAGTGTGGTCAATGACAGCAGCTCGAAATCAGTGTGGAGGAAACTCTGGCAAGTCCACACCACACCTACTATTCGTAATCTCATCTGGCGGGCTGCAAATAACATAATGCCGGTGCTAGATAATCTTGCACGTAAAGGGATGCCGATTCAAAATATATGCCCGTTGTGCCAATGCTCCGAGGAGACGGTGTTGCATCTCTTTGTTTCTTGCAGCTTTGCACGACAGGTGTAGACAACCTCTATCTTGGGCTGGTACACGCCCCATGTCAACGGTTTCATCGCTTGGCTAGAAAAGATTTTCAACCTCTTCAACGTCTCCCTAGTTCGTAATCACAAAGTGTATAACACGAGTTAAACCTTCTGGGCTTTACTGTCTCAAACCGCCCCATTTTTGAGCTGGGGATATCCATGCACCGATTTTCGATTTCGACATTTTGAGGAGTGGTGGTCGTTAGCTTCGCCAATGGCAAGAACGCCAGTGGGGGTCACAAGAAGTTCATGGTCAAGACCACTTGATGGATTTGTGAAGGTTAATATTGATGCATCTACAGGCTTGGTTGACGATATGATGGGAGTGGGTTTCATCGCTCGCAATGGCCTTGGAGTTTTTTTGGCGGCTAAAAATAAATCTTTTAGGGCCAGCTACGGTCCCAGGGAGGCAGAGGCGGTGGCAGTTAAAGAGGCCCTTAGTTGGATCAAATCAAAAGGTTGGATGCAGGTAGAGATCGAAACCGATTGTAAGGAGGTTGTGGATGCACTGAAAAACTCTTCTGATGATTGGTCTTATTTCTCTTCGATTATTACTGATTGTAAATCCCTATTGGCTTCGTGCGATGGGATTTTTCATTTTCACTTTGTATATCGCTCTGCTAATGAGGCGGCGCATATACTAGCGCGAGGTTCTCATTCACCTCAGAGCAGGGGAGAATGGAACATTTCTCCCCCTGACTTCATCATTTCATTAATATAATTTTTTTCCCTTTGCTTCAAAAAAAAAAGACAATGGTATCAGGGAATTCAATATATCCCACACCGGTCGAAAAATAGTAGTGAACTAAAATGTATAAGTTTGCCCCCAACCAATTAGGAGGTGTCGAAAAACAAAGTTGTGAGGGTTTGGTCCAAAGCGGACAATACCAAACTGATTCAGTGATAGGTATGGGTAAGGTACTTATAGTCCCAACATGTCATATTGGAGCCAAAGTTTGGAGCATGCAAGAGTGTGGATTGCGTTGTGTGGATTCTTGGTGTGACGGCTTGCCAATCATTGTGGCGAATGTTTTTTTTGACAAGAACATGTGATTAGGTGGCATGTCCTGGTAGGTGGTAACAACGATGCAAGGTGATTTGGTAGATCAAATGATGTGACCTAGCAGTGGAGAAATAAGGTCGATACCTTGTGTCTAAACTTTTCTCAGTAAAGAGAGTATCAGGCTATGTATCCCACAAGTTGTTGCAGCGGTATAAGATGGTGGACAAATTAAGTGGAGTAGCGCTTTAGCCAAGATCACGAGTTATGTGGTCCTAGTTTGAGGGAAGGTTTATCGCGTTATTCAAACCATCCCACACCGGATGAAAAAAAGAAGTAAACAAAAATAATTAGGTTTAACCCAATTACCAAACCATTTGTATGAGACTTTTTTGGTGGTGCTCAAAAAATTTGCGAGAGTTTGGCCAAAAGGAGATCGTATCATACTAATGCAAGATTATGGTGAGGTACGCAGCTACGTATAGTACTAACAACTAGGAATTTAATAATGTGGTTCGCCTAAAATTTTGGGCTACGTTCACAAGCGAATACTCCCCTTATTCCTTATTCTAGTGTTACAAATAGTAGATACAACTTTTAGTATTATAAATAGTATGCACAACCTCTCCATCTATTACAAATAATAGCTCTCAAATATAAAAACAAAATAGTGGGTCAAAATTATAATTTCCCAAGTTTGATATGTTTCTCTCACTATTTTTTCACTCGTTGTCTAAAAAAACATTCTTTAAGTACTCACGTTCATGTTATCTTCAAAAGAAAACCTTTGCTTTGACTTTCATTTCATTTTCTCCCATCTCTCTTATTTATAGAGAGTGCTATATGTATTCTCCAATTTGGATTTCTATCCCTTTAGCAGTCATGGTATGTATTGCCTTCAATGTCAAAGTTTATAGCTAAATATATCAATTCTCTCCATTAGTTTCCTTTTGGAAGGAAGCACCCAACAAAGAGGTGATATGCATGAGTCACATAATGAGTGAGTATGTTGTATATGACTTGCATGATTTTCAACCTGCTTGGGATATAGATATGATTTTTTCTTGAACTTGTTTGAATCCCTTCATAATAAAAAATTAAGGACTTATTTTGTGACCTTTATATTTGAGTATTTAAGGCAAAATGTGTAAAGTGATATGTAACCCTTTTCTGTAAACTAGATGTAGAAGCTTGTTCTCAAACTTTCCAATTAATTGTTATATTGTGAGAATGCATTGTTTAAAGTTAGATACCTACACTATGTTTGGTTCAAGGAATTTGGAAAGAAAAGAAAAAAATGATTTTTTCTCATTTTCCTCCCCAAAATGGGAGGAATTTAGTTTTTCCTCTACTTGATACATTTTGTCTTCTCATTTTCTTTTCCTTCAACTTTTCTTTTCTTTTCCCCTCTAACAAAAAAAAACTGTTTTCCACTTCATTTTTTTCTTTTCACTTTCAAATTCCTTGAACCAAACATAGTGTTAAGGATTTCATTCAAAAAAAAAGCAATAACAAACTACATTGAAATATCTGCTTCTATGATAAAATTGTGGAGTAGTAGTACTACTTTTATGGTTGTATTTCTTTTGATATATCTAGACTACCCTACTCTCATGCAATTCAAATGGGGTTTTGTTGTTTTCTTTTGATATAATGTCATATAACCATTTAATATGGTGTAAACCAACTAACTTATCATGACTTAGTTGAGTAACTCTTACCCTTTTCTTAAATTTTTTTCATGATGATATGTTTATGATCATTAGGTCAATTGAGAATGTGCTAGAATGCCTCTAGCTATGAGTGTTCTGAAAAGAAAGACTTTGTTGGTACTGTTAAGACTTGAAGCTTGTTGTAAACCAAATCAAATCCCATGTGTTGAAAAAGTTTTGAGCAAACTTGTTATGTGCAGGCAGTGCCTATCTGGGTAATTACTTGTATAACCCTGGCTAAGAGGCCTCATCCAAGTGCCACAAAGCGGCTTCTGGGGATACTTGAAACCCTCTATGGACATTGCTAATTGATTTAACTTCCTGCAAAAGTTTTAAAAGTTTAAAACTTTAGAAAGTTTAGTGTTTAAGGCCAACTATGCTATGAAACTTGAAACCTATTGCCCAGTTGTTCCATCTAGACTTAATTGTCCACTTTTTTAGTCCACTTAATTTCCATATTTAAGGAATAATATATGATAATTTGTCTAAAATATTGTAAAGATAGATATTATATTGATCATTTTTTACAAAAATGAGTGACAAACGCATTTGAAGTACTTCATTCCATCATCTACGATGGAGCCAAAGATTGACTACGGAGTAGTTTTTTAGCGTTGGAGTATAATGAAATAAGTAAAATGATTCTTGTAAGTGTCTGTGCTATTTTCTAATAGTGAAGTTGCGGTTAGTCAATGTAACTTTTGACGCTCATCGTGGAGTAGCCGCTCTATTATTAAACACAAGGGTCATGTCGCGCACTAATAACCCCCTTACCCCGCAGTGGGTAGGGGCCTTTGAGGCACTAGGGTAATATTGTTGTTGTATCATATCAGCCCTTATTCAAGCATTTTGTATGCTTGTTTTGAGCAAATTGCCAAGTGCTTTTTCATCATATTTTTTCTGATTTTTTTTAATTATTGTATTAGCATGGAAAAAGTACTGGAGAGGTACGAAAGATACTCATATGCAGAGAGGCAACTCAATCCAGCTGATTTAGACTCCCATGTATGCTTAGTTTATACAAACTATATTGGTAAATTTTATTTACAATTCATCTCTTTTAGTTATAGTAATTAACTTTGTGTAGCTGATTTTTTTTATGCAGGGAAGTTGGACCCTAGAGCATGCAAAGCTCAAGGCTAGGATGGACATTTTACAGACAAACCAGAGGTACCATAGCTTAGAAACAATATTTATATATAGATTGTGGAGTAAATAGTTATAATAGATTCCTTTTATGTGCATTATATATTTATATGTGTAAATATTTCCTATGTTACTTGAGTATATAAAACCTGGAATTTTATCTATGTTTTGACTTAGCTTTTGACTTACTCCCTATGTCCTAAAACGTGATTCTTAGTTACTATTTACACGGTCAAATTTTAATCACTTTCTTTACTTATTATCGTTAGTTATTTGATAAAATAATATAGTCTTGTCAACTCTTGTTTTATAGAACTTTTGATGTAGTTTTTAAATATATAAATTTTATTTTTTAATTTTACATCTACAATCGAATAAATTGAAATGAAAATAAAGTCGGTCAAACCTCGTATACAAAAACGGGAAGAACGTTTTAGGACGGATGGAGTATTTCATTAGGAAGATGATATTTGCACTACATTTTTTTGCTATTGGCACTGCATAATTCACTATTAATGTGAGAGGGGGTAATAGTGTATTTTTGAGTGCCAATAGCAATAAATGGAATGCAAATATCATTTCCCATTTTATTTATGAAGTTTTATGAGTTCAAACACTTGTGTATATATAAGCAGAGTTAATAACTTTTTAATTTGTGTTTGAATTGGTAGCTATAAATTCTCATGGAATTAGTACTCTCCTGGAGCCACTTAAACTCATAATTAAGCCAAAAACATGTTAATAAGTTTGTGTTAATTGCTTACTTTAGCAAGTTTAGTGTTTAAGGCCAACTATATGTCTTTTATTTGTAAAATAAGCATTTGAGCATTTTTCTTGCTAACAATAAGTGTGATGTGGCCTATGTATATGTATGCTGCAGGCACTATGAAGGTGAAAACCTAGAATCTTTAAGCCTTAAAGAGCTTCAGAATCTTGAACGCCAACTGGATTCTGCCCTAAAAAATATCAGGTCAAGAAAGGTAATTAATTACTCCACATTCTTTAACTGAAGAAAAATAAAATTAAAGCTGGTTCAATTTATTTGTCCCCAAAATCCCTTTTACAACTTTGCCCCTACTCTTCCATAAGAATTACCCTAAATAGGAATAAAATATAGAGAAAGTATCAAAATAGAAATTCCATGTTTTTATCCCGAAAATAGGAGTTCGCGTTGTGGCACTTCACAATACGTTTTGGTAATTTATATCGTCATGATTGATACTGTAAATGCATTTTGATTTCTATTTCGAGAATTAAAACATGGAACTTCTATTTTTGTATATTTTGAATATTTCACTTAGTCGTGTGAAGGCGGCTTAGCTAAATAATCTTTAATTTCTGGGTTTGTTTTCCTTGTAGAATCAAGTCATGTTTGAATCAATTTCCCTGCACCAGAAAAAGGTTTGGATTATTATTATTCTTTCGTGCATTAAAGTTTAGCCTAGACCTAAAATCCATGGTGCACGGCCCCTGCAAATGTGTTGTGTTGGTACTTGGTAAGTAATTGTTTACTAGTGAGATGAGCATTTTTTTTATAAATAAAAACAATAAAAAAAATTTGTTTGGACCATGCACAATTTTTTGTGCAGCTTAGGCAATTTCTTTTAATTCATGTTTTAATTTTATTTGGTATTCCCTCTGTGCCACTGTTTTGTCATTTTTTGTCAGTCTTAGTATTTTTATATCATACCATATTTGGTTACGGATTATATTTGTGTGATTTACATTCATTTTGAGAACGACGTTTTCAATTAGCAGTAACCTTTTGGATAATTTTTTAATGATACAAATTTTTTCACAAAAATGCTAAAGCTAAATGTTGTTGATAGATAGCCTTGCCAAAAATACTACAATTGATGTCAAATAGACAATTTATCTTACTTTCTAATATTTATATCAACCACACAATCTTTTAAAAATTTTCGTGCTACTCCATGTCTCGAAAATAGTGGGGTGAAGGATATATGCTTTAAAAAGTTAAAAATTGTGTACTAATTATATGAAAAATTTTCTAACAAAGAATAATTTTATACGGAGTACGTACTAATATTTTATTATAAACTTTTTTATATTCGAATTCATTACGAGTAAAAATTTAATTGGTGATGGGATAATATTTTGTTAAACCAAAAATTCATGATTATGGTCGTACACCCACAAATGATTTTGATACGGAGTATATTCTAGCACGCCCTTACGTATAGGTGTGGTCGTTTCAAAATTTGCAAGTGAAACTTATTTTTTTTAATACACATGATAATAAATTCAATTTTGAACTCGTAATTTTTTGGTCAATAAATGTTTGATCCCACATGAAGTTGTGAACTCAAGCAACTCAATGTCCATGGACTTATCTGTTTTAAGGAATCAAAAGTAATACTCCGTACTAAGAAAAAAATTACGATTCTATTTAGCGATCAATTAGGGTACAAATCCTGTCGTTTCGCGCATAGATATGACCTTACACGATGATGCAGGGAGGCGGTTGGAATGTCCCTTCGCATTAAGATTGGTGGAGTGAAGATGTTGAAAAATATGGGAGAAATTGAAAAAATTGGAAGGAGTTTGAAAGTATTGGAAGAATTAAAATGTTAAAAAGTCACTCAATTAAATAATCATCCAAATAAATATGTAAATAAATTCTAATTTTGGATAAGAAAGAATTCGTCATTATCTCTATTTGAAGGTGGTATGTTATAAATTTAGATATATCATGTTATTGTATATTCATCATATATAGATATTGTTTTTAAGTCGTGAAACTGGAAGAAGATTGAAGGAATTATAAGGAATTGGAAAAAGATGGAATTTAATTTTTCTCCAACCCAAAAGAACATGGTCTTATTATATTGTTAATTAATTTAAAATTTTAACTAATTCTGTACAGAATAAAAGAGATAAAAGCCTCATTTGGCATAAGCGTTAAATGTTAGTGTTAGCATTTTCGAAAGGCTATCTGACGGTAGCTTTTAGCGTTAACATCTTCAGAATTAATCTACACTATTAAACTTTTATTTAAAACACTATTCCAAAACAAGGCCAAAATAAAATTACTAAAACATTGACACCTAGCACAAAGAGAATTACATACTACCTCCGTCCCTGAGTATTTGTCAAGATTTGATTTTTTTCAGTTAACTATTTTCAACACTTGACCTACAACTAAATAAAATATATATTGTATATTAATGAGATAAAACAATATTTTGAAAATATTTGATATAATAAATCTAATAAAACTATTTTTGTATCAATATTTAATATCATTTTTATTTAATTTGAAGTCAAAGTTTACCAATTTTCCCCTCCCTCTGTTCCAGGCCACAGTCTTTCCCTGGTGTCCTTCCTCCTTTCCCTTGGTGCAATCTAGTTCTCCTCACATGGACTTGCCTACTCTACCCACCCAAACCCAGCCCCACACCCACCCAACACTTCTTTTTCATTATACGACCGGCCCTCTTCCCGATTTTTCAAATTGGGCTGTCCAATCCCCTCGGCCCAGTGCTCTGCTCAAAACGTCCATACCCCGTATTCAACCTGACCTACCCACGTCCATATCCTTACATGCCACACCCGTTCTTGGTACCCAACACCAAACCAGTTCCAATACCCAAGCCAAACCCATCTAGCCCGAAATTATTGTGCCCAATCTTACACCTAATGCCTCACGCCCTCACCCAATACCCACTCCCCGCCCTCGGCCAACTCATTAAATGACTCCCCATGCTAAAAGTGGTATATTTAAATCAAAACTTTTTCCAACCTCTCTTCAGTCTTTACCTAGTGACTCTGGGCGAACGATATTTGAAGAGGCCTCCAAATATGAGGTTTGGCGTTTTGCCATGGATGAGGAGTATTCTGCCTTAATCAAACACAACATATGGGTACTTGTCCCCAAGCCTTTGGGTCGATCTCTGATTGGTTGTAAGTGGGTTAACAAAGTTAAGCATATGCGGATGGGTTAGTCTCGTGCTCTAAAGGGTGCTTGGTTGCTAAAGTATATACTCAAGAGTATAGTTTTGATTATTCAGAAACTTTCGGTCATGCTTTTAAACAACAAACTATACGTATTATTTTTACTCTTGCTCTTCATTATGATTAGCCACTTCGACAGTTGGATGTTTCTAATGCTTTCTTACATGGTGAAATTGACAAAGACATTTATATGGCTCAACCTCTGGGGTATGTTGATTCCAGGTTTCCAGAACATGTTTGTTAGATTACCAAGTCTCTTTATGGGTTATAAGTATAACAGGCTCCCTGAGCTTGGTACGAGTGCCTCTCTAGTTTTTTACTTGTGTATGAGTTCTGCAAGAACAAGCGTGGCACCAATCTCTTTATCTACCATGGATCAATTAGTATGCTAATTTTACTTGTATATATTGATGATATTATTGTCACAAGTAGTTCTCTTGTGCTTGTTCAAGACATTATTACTCGTACGTGTGGTGAATTTCAAACCAACGATTTGGGTCTTCTAGATTATTTTCTTGGCTTGGAGGTCTCTCGTACTCCTTCCTCTATCATTGTCTCCTAGAGAAAATTTGCTACCGATCTTCTTCATCGCGCTGGTCTAGAGAACTGTAAGCATGTCTTGTAACCTATATCGGTTTGGCGATCCGATCCCCTGAGAAGGGGGGATGAACCATTTCTTGATCCACTTTGTTTCGAAGCCTAGTTGGAGGGCATCAGTATCTCATGACTACACGACCAGACATTCCGTTTGTAGTGAATTATGTTTGTTAGCGCATGCATAATCCCACGAAGTATGATTTCAGAGTTTGAAGCGGATTATGGGGTTTGTTAAAGGAATTGTTGATAAGGGTCTTGTGTTTCGATTTGGTGATCTGCAACTGCGGGCATATTCTGCCTTGGATTGGGCAAATGACATGTCTGATGGGCGCTCGGTCTCAGGTTACTTTGTCTATCTTAGACCAAATCTGATATCATATAGCACTGAAAAGCAAACTCGTGTGTCTAAATCCTCTACTAAAGCTGAGTATTGACCTCTCTCGTATGTGGCTTCTGAACGTTTGTATCTTACTTATGTTTTTAATGACTTTCGTGTACCTGTCTCACCTCCACATCTCTTTTGTGATAATCAATCTACTATATGTCTCACAAAAATCGGTGTTTCATAAGCATACAAAGTATGTGAGTACTGATTGTTACTTTGTTCAAGAACAAGTTATTGCTAGGACTATGAGTGTGTCTCATGTCCTTTCTGAAGACTAGCTCTCGCCGATTTGCTGACTAAGTCGTTGCCGAAGCCATGCTTACAGACTCTTGTTTTCAAGCTTCCGTTTGTGACATGACGTTCAGCTTGAGGGGGAGGGGGTGTTAAACACTCAATTATGGTCAATATTAATTATGGTAGACTTTATGTTTTAATCAACTTCTGTTATTGTTTTCCTAGTTTCTGTTGAGTCTGTATTCCCTTTTATAAATATTCTATCTTGTTTTCATAATTCCCAAGAAATACAATTGTTCATTTATTCTTCCTTTTCTTATCCCCTACCATCGCCCACTGGCGCCTCCATCTCCCCCCATCGGTGCAATATTCCTTTGCCGCCACCGCCATCTCTCGTTGTCGCTCCCATCTTTTCATCACCATTGCCCTCCTAGATCATATCGTGTTGGAGTTGTACGTGCCCTCACCCCAATCCCGCATTATTATGATTATAATTTTTTTGGACTAAGCCCTCAGAGACTTGTTTTTGAGCACCTTAGAAAAGACCTCGTACTTATGGATTGGGTTAGACATATTTATTGGTCTCTCATCTCCTCTACCTTTTGCGTTGACTTGGAGGAATGTCAACAAACCTCCCCTCAACAAAGGACCACACATTGTGCTGACCATACCTATAGCGATAATCCATTTTTATCTGTCAATCATCTTGCACTGCCACTACACTCTTTGTCGGACACGTCGCCCGGCCTTATGTCAGGAAGACTTTCGATGCAAGGCTCGAATTGCAGATCTCCTCTTTGCTAGGCTACACCATTTGATTAGCCAAATCATCATATCATATACCGATGCTACAATGTTGTGGGACACGCTACACGACCTCTTCTTGTCAGGAGGTTTTTCGGCAGAAGGCACCACCTACAGATCCCCTCCTAGTCTGGGTCCTGTTTTTACATCCTCACACTGCATAGTCCGACACTCACGCCAGCTCTAAGCCCGAGCTCCGATGCCAAATGTTGGGATCGCGCCTGCCCTCACTCCAACCCCGCATTAGTATGATATTATGCAATTTGGGCTAAGCCCTTAGGAATTTGTTTTAAGAATCACCCAAAATAGGGATAAAACCATAGCTCTTATCTCCAAAATAGATGTTTTGTGTTTTTATCCTTAAAACAAGAATTTACACGACAATGTGGCACTGACTCTTTTGAGGGCCTTGACATTTTTTCGGATCTATTATTGGACATCTTTTGGATTTGGGTCGCATCTTGGGCCTCGTATGGGATGCTCTTCGGTATGCATGCTTCTATTGGTCATGGGCTTTTGTGTGGACTGGTGGACCTTGATTCTGACTATGAATTCGTTTTTATGCTTTAATAAAATTACCGTTTCTTGGTTTTAAAAAAAAGACTTTTTTTTCTTCTTTTTTTAGACGTGTTCGATTATTTTGTCTATTACTGTCTTTTTCTTTGTAAAATCACTATGAATGTGACTTTTGTTTCGTTTGACATTTCTTTCTTAATACAATTTTTGGACTAATATGCAATATAAGATTTACATAATGAGGACGGGTAATCTTACATCATTTTATTGGTGTAAGATTGTTACATCAATTCAATTGGAGTACCTACAGTGTTTCAACCGCAACACTGATTGTTTCTACTCTTGGTAAAGCCCCTTAGCTCATCCCGTCCCCAATGTACCCCCACAGGCCCACACCCCGTCAATTCCATCACATCAAATTTTATTGACTTTCGAGTCAAATATTTGACCAAAATTTGGTGTAATGAAGTTGGTGGGGATGCGTTGGTGAAGGCGAGCTAGGTGGTTTACCGAGAGGGTTAAGGAGTAAGAATAATCAATTTTACGATCGGAGCACCGTAAGTCCTCTAATTGAATTGGTGTAATCTTACACCAATACCTTTTACTTAATTGATTATTAAAGTTTGCTCAGTTTGACTGGTCAAAGATAGTAATATACATCCAACATTCCGGATTTAATTCATCATTTTTTTTAAGAATGTTTTAGGACAAAGTTATCATTTCTTAAATTCTTTGTAAGAAAAACAAATGAGAATTTGATTTTGGGATGGAGGTATAGTGGTGGAGAACTATATATTTTGGAGAAGAAATAATGAAATGAAAATAATGAAATAAAAAGTTTAATACATGACTGCATGAGATTGTGATAAAGTGTGATATTTGCTATGGTCATGGAATTACATTATTGCATGCTGCCAATATGTATTAACTTGTGTTGTCTCATTGAAATTGTTTGGCAGGACAAAGCATTGCAGGATGAGAACAACAAGCTGGCTAAAAAGGTAATTCTCATTTCACCACTTGGAAAATTTACTATCATGTCTTCCCATAGGTTTATATATAGCCTTCCATCATGTTTTGATGGAGATTAGAGTGTTACGTTAACACTTTAATTTGAAATTTTTTTAAATACTCACCCAAAAATAGGAGAAATACATTGTCTCTATCCTCAAAATAGAAGTGATATGTTCTTAAGTATCCTCAAAATAAGAGCATTACGACATATATGACACTATATGTCTATATGTTGGCATTCCATTACTCTTTTCGTTTTGAATATTTGTTCACTTTTTACAGTAAAAATTTGTAAATCTTGACAACTAATTAAATAAAAATGATATTAGATATTGATAGAAAATAGTTTTAATAGATTCATTTTATAAAATATTTTCAAAATACTATTTTACTTTCTTTCTATACAATATATATTAAAAATGCTTAACTGGAAAAAGTCAAAATTGGACAGATATTCAAGAATGACGATAGTATATGTTTGCATTGTTGGCATTATAAATCTTATTTCGAGGATGGAAACATGAAGGTCTTATCTTGATTCATTGTCTATGTTTTATTCATAGTTAAGTCTTTTGGATAAAGATCTAACTAAATAAAATTGAAATATGACACTTATATCAAACTAAAACATCCAATGCACCTGTGAAAAAAAACATCCTATGTAGGTAATGTGAAACGCCAAATTTTGGCATTGTCCTAATTTAGTATAAGTATTAAAACATTGAAAGTCTCATTTTTGTGTATGAAATATATTTTAGTTCTAATTGGGTATTTCTTACTTTGTTATTTTTAGTGCTCAAAATGTATTGAGTGTGCTCAAAATTTATTTAGTGTGACTGTAAATACTCGAATAGTAGTACCAGTCGTATACTAGTATTTAATTATTAATCTAAATTATCCAATTTGATTGAAACTATGTGAATGCTAGAGAGAAAGACTAAAATAGGAACAATAAACATAGGGAAAAAATCAAATTGGAATTTTAATATTTTTATCTCCAAAATAAGACATATAATGTCAATAAATACCAATATATAATACCAAAAATACTGTGAAACACTACTCGTAATATATAGTTATATATCTTCATAGTGAAATAATTCTATTTTGAGATAAAATATATCCTGTTTTAGAGATAAAGTTTACATTTTTGCTATTTCTTGGGTGATTTTTAAATAGGAATAGCATTTCCCTAAAGAAAACTAAAGTTTGATGGAATAAAAGTACAGATAAAGGAGAGGGAGAAAGAGATTGCTGAATGGGAGACTACGCAGAACGACGACATGAACTCCGCCCCCTATGGTTTACCACAACACCTCCTAAACTCCTTTAACCTTAGGTATTAATTTTTTGAATAAAGCTATTTGTACCCCAAAAATTTGTACCTCACCGCATGGATGCACCAACATTTTGTGTCGATGTAATGCTAATTTTTGTTAATGCACCAACACTTTGTGTCAGTGTAAATTTTTGTTAATACACCAACACTTTGTGTCAGTGTGAACCATCAAATGTTGGTGCATACTTTTGGTGTACAAATGGGGTACAAATTTTGAGGTACATGTAGCATGCTCCTAATTTAATTGAGATGAAGTGTCACATTTATTTCCTATCTCTTTATTTCTTCTCCAACCCCTTCTCCATTTAACGATTTTACTGAGTAAAACGTCCAAGTAGAGAGGGGATCGGGTGAAAGAACGGTAGGGGGGGAGATTTTAAGCGGGTGAGAATCACTTCCGAGTCTAATAGAGCACCGTAAGTGTCCTAAATGAACCAATGTCGTATTATGACATTTGGTTCTAATGTTGAACGAACCACACACGTGATTTTAATATTTTAAAATTATTTTATTTTTTTGGTGAGTTGTACAAATAAAAGAGGATAGTTGAGTTGGTTCCTTGATAGTTGACATGGTATCGGAGCTTTGTTGACTAAGAGGTCACGAGTTCGAAACACAACGCTACCCAGTTTTAAAAAAATTATGGTTTCACGTACAAGACTCGAAAAAGACTACGTCAGCATGTGAGAGGGCATGTTAGAATATACTCCCTCCGTTCTCAAAAACACTTCCTCTTTCATTTTTTTCACTTCCAACAAAACACTTCCCTTTTCTATTAAAAAACCACTTTTACCCTTACTTTTTCATACCCTACCTATCACATCATACTTTTTCTCTAATAATCTATCCATCACATCTTACTTTTACTCATCACATCAGGGGCAAAATTGGAAATCAACTATAATTTAACACTTCCTTATTTTTGCCCCAAATCCAAATGGGAAGTGTTTTTCCAAACGGAGGGAGTATGAAACTTTTCCTGACCACAACCACAAATTTGAGCTTTTGGTTAAATTGGTTCCTTGATAATATGATAATGTATTTTGTTGCACTTTTGTTTGTGATTCTAACATTTCTCTTTTTTCCTTTTTTTTCTTGGAATCTTGGGTTTGATATGTTTTTTAATTGTCACAAAATTTTTTTGCAGTGAAAGGTATAATTGTGGAGGAGTAGAGTATGGAGAGATGGAAGGAAATTTGCCTCAACAACAGCCAAACACTGTGATGCCCCAGTGGATGCTTAGTCACATAAATGGCTACATAAAATGAAATTTTGATCACTTTGCAGAAGAGTATATATGTATTCAATGCCTACAAAGGTAAAATCTGTGTACATAATTGTGGTGATTAAGAAAAGAAAAAAAACAAATTAAGAGATGTCCATTTTAAGGTTATGGCTGTTAGAGACTATAGTGTAGTAATGTGTAGTTAATTACCATTTGGATATAAAATATATGTGTGTATGTTTTGTATATTAATGTAATGCAGATATGCTTTATCACTCCGGTAGTATTATGGATGTGGTCATGTGGATTGTGATTTTTGTTCAATTAATGTCTTCTACTTATAGAAAGGGTTAAATCCTTGTTTTGGAATAGCGTTTTTTATTAGCGTTAGCGTTTTGACAAAATTTTAATGATTTAGATTAATTTTAAAATCGTTAGCTATCGTCAGATAGTTTTTTCAAGGTGCTAATGCTAACCTAGGGGTGGGTGCAGTTCGAAAGGTTCTGGTAAACTATTAGGAATGATACCATACCATTACTATTTATATGGATTCAGTACAATTCTGGTTTTGGACAAAAACCGATCGGTACGGTACCCCTTTGGAACGGGAGGGTTTAATACCATACTATTGCTAAATGTGTATATATGTTATACTCTATAAGAACTATGAGTATTTGCATACTAATGTCAAATGTATGGTACCTTAATATATGCATGACTCCCCTAAATGAGTATTGAAACATTAAAATTCCAACGAGAATGCATGAGTACCTAAAGAGTAATGGAGGATAATGTAAAAACTTTTTAATTGTGGTAGCCCCTTCTGCCAAAAAAAGTTAAAGTAAAACTTAAGTACATATACATAGACTACTATGCATTCAAATTGCCAAAATCATCAAACTCACTATCACTGATGAGTAAAGTAAAAAGTAATGGATAGTGTGAAAGTCATTAAACAAAAATAATCTGTTAAACAACACCCAAAAGGGCTAAATGCTCTACTTAATTCAAGAAGTAAAAGTATTAGAGTTCAATTGACTATACAGTAGTTTTTCATTTGGTCAATTGATACGGGATTAATTATTATTATTATTATATTAGGTAGTATTATTATTTATGGTTAGTTAATTATATTATTATTAGAAAGTAATATTCTATTGTTAGGATATTTGTTACCATTTATTATTAGGATTCCTAGATTATTTTGTTTCCTTCTATGGTAAGGATTCTTTAAATGTCCTAGCTATAAATGTATCCATTTCAATGAATTATTTATCATTGAATAAAGAAATTACTTTCTCCTAAATCTTAATTTCTCTCTTTCTCACCTCTTTTGTTCTTGGAGCTCGAAGGTGCTCGAAATCCTTCCCTATCCCGATACGATACCGTATCATCAATTGGGCCTTGAGTATGAAGTTTTAATATTTTAATTTGTTAGACTATTTGAGTCATTAAGGCATTAACATTTAAATGCTTTTCTAAAGACAAAATAGATACACAATCCTTTACCAAGGAATCAAATAAATTGGATGAAATTCCTAACTTCTTAACATTCTTTAAGTAGTGCAATATACATTGTATAATCGATTGTATGATACTTTCCGTACATCCGCGATGAGTATTCATTTTCGAATAATCAAATATTCATTTTCGAGCAATTCAATATTCTTTTTCGAGTAACTAAATACTTATTTCTTTAAACTTTTGTTATACTTGTAAATGAATATTCAATTACTCGAAAATGAATATTCTATGATTTGAAAATGATACCTAAAAAATGTGTATTCAAGCAAATGTACAAAAAACATCTTACAAATAAAATCTGAAGGATGAAAACTCTTGTTTTGTTGCATTCCATAGCCATATTTCCATTATTTGGGTTTTCCGGTGAAAAAACGACGACCGCGTGTCCGAAAGAATCTCATGGGAGGACTCTGGACGTGTGGCGGCGGGAGTGCCCGGCATTATCCTCTGTCTCGTCCCAAATCCCCTTCAATTCCTCGCAAAATCTTCTTACCTCCCTGCTCCTCCCTTGAATGCCACCTCTTAGGAGCGTCTTATTCCCGGCTCCGGTTTCGGATTCCGGCTTCCGGCCCAGAATTTGGGTGCAGCGACGGTGAAACCCCCAGAAAGCCTCATGTGATCCCTGATGCCGGAGAGGAAAACCCTAATCGGCGGCGAGGTTTTGCTGCTATGGTGGAGAGTGTGATCCCGCAAGGGGATACTGCTATAATTTCTGCCTGCATCGTCGGGCTTTTCACAGGTATCTCTGTTGTACTCTTCAATACTGCTGTACATGATATACGCGACTTCTGTTGGGGAGACATTCCACATTTGGGTGGCTCCTGGCTACGCGAGGAGTCCAAAGAGTTGATTCGGGGACGTGTAATCTTAGTCCCGGCTTGTGGGGGTATGGTAGTGAGCTTGCTGAGTTTTCTGCTAACCAGACTGGATGTACCCTTTGAAGGAGACAATGGGTCACCCTTCAAATATGTTGTGAAATCACTCTTGAAGACAATGGCTGCTTGTGCCACACTAGGAACGGGCAATTCATTGGGACCCGAAGGTCCAAGTGTTGAAATTGGGAATTCTGTTGCGAAGGGAATTGGGTTTTTCTTTGATAGAAGTGCCCAAAGAAAGGTGTCACTCAAGGCTGCTGGGTCTGCAGCTGGAATCTCCTCTGGTTTCAATGCTGCGGTCGCGGGTTGTTTTTTTGCAGTGGAGTCAGTGTTGTGGCCATCACCTGAGAATTCATCGTTATCATTGACAAACACGACCTCAATGGTTATTCTCAGCGCTGTGGTAGCCTCTGTGGTTTCAGAAATTGGCCTGGGATCTGAACCAGCGTTTGCAATCCCAAGTTACGATTTTCGTTCTCTGGCTGAGTTACCACTTTATCTTTTGCTTGGTATTCTTTGTGGGTTGGTTTCTGTGGCATTGTCTAGGTGTACATCTCTTATGTTGCTTGCAGTCTGCAATATCCAACAGGCCATTGGCACACCAAAACTAGCTCTCCCTATATTGGGTGGGTTATCCGTTGGGCTTATAGCATTGGCATATCCGGAAGTTCTATACTGGGGGTTTGAGAATGTTGACATTTTGTTAGAGTCTCGCCCATTGGTCAAAGGGCTTTCCGTCGATTTGTTGTTACAGCTGGTGGTGGTCAAAATCGTAGCAACATCAATATGCCGGGCCACTGGATTGGTGGGAGGCTACTATGCCCCTTCCCTGTTTATTGGTGCGGCTGCTGGCATGGCATATGGCAAAACTGTTGGCTTCATCATCACTCAAGCCAGTCCAATATCTCATATCTCCTTGGATGTTGCTTCACCACAAGCATATGCTCTGGTTGGCATGGCTGCCACTCTTGCTGGAGTCTGCCAGGTGCCTCTTACTGCAGTTCTGCTACTCTTTGAACTGACACAAGATTACCGGATAGTTCTTCCTCTTTTAGGAGCTGTGGGTATGTCTTCTTGGATCACATCCGACCGGATTAAGGGAATGACAATGGAGGATGTGAAGAAAACAAAAGATGGAAGACCCTATACAGCCCAATCACCAGAAACATCTGTCCCGGCGACTATTCACCCCTTTACTGGCACTGATTCTGTAGCACATTCACAGGCCAGTGACCTAAATGAATGCGCCAACGACAGACATGAGTGGGCAAAGAAGACACTTGTTTCACAGGCAATGAGAACAGACTACATCACTGTTTCAATGAACACTTTGCTTGCAGAGGTTGTGTCTCTCATGTTAGCCGAGAAGCAATCATGCGCCCTAATAGTTGATGAAAACAATCTTCTTATCGGTCTGCTTCCACTTGGTGATATCGCGATATACATGAAGAAATCAAGAACAAAGAGAGGTAAGGACCTTGCAGTATCCCATCTTTGTTCTTCCACTGAGAATGAGCACCGGGTGCTGTGGACTGTAACGCCAAACACAAGTCTGTTTTCTGCACAAACCCTGATGGACAGTCACGGCATGAATCTGCTACCCGTGGTTTCGGAGCACGGTGGTCATCCGGTTGGCTTCTTAGACAGAGAATGCATTGATATTACTTGCAGAGGCTTGGAAATCAGGGATTTCTTTTGCCGGTCCGTCACACCAGAAATGCCAATGCACTAAGAACTTTGAATATTTGGGGATGTATTTTGTTTAGTTCCCATCATGTTATATGACAGTTGACCTGGGAGATGTAAATATCACAATATTGGCCATTTCTAGTTTCTCCCCAATATATATATGTGTATATATCTCCCCTAATTTTTGCTCTTCCACTCAATATTTTTATCACTTTAAATAATTTGGGTTTGATTGACTTTGAAGTTCTGTTTTTTTTTGTTGGTGCTATGCATAATCTTAAAGATTGTTATAGCTATTAGCATCCAATTTCAAATTATTAGAACAAAACCAAATAGACATCTTTGCCCCTTTTCCCCTAAACCATATCTTCTTCACTGACCCTTTCAATTGGGCTTCATTTTTTTTGTTCTTCACCATTTCTTTTCTTTAAGGTCGTGTTGCCTGATTTCCCGCATAAACTTGGTATGTTCAACTCATTGTACGATTTTATTTTATTTTTAAGAACAAATTGTACGATTTGGTTTTAAATAGAAAAAAAAACAATTCTGATTCATCCATCTCTACCCCTTCTTTGATGGCCTCAAAACAAAACGGAGGGTCATCATATCGACAGATAGAATCATCACAAACAGATGACCTCAAATTGCTTTCGACTTAAAAACTCATATTTTATGATAATACTCATATTTCTTTTTTTATTTATTATGTAACATGAAAGTTGTTCTAAATCCTAATTATTGTTCATCAAAACCCAGAATGAAAGCGAATAAATTACAATCTTGGGGGTAGTGCATAGACTAAGATGCCCCCAGTCAGATTTGTTCCTAGATTCCCCACTGGGTACTCCCCATGCGCGCCTCAAGAAAAGAACCATGGCTAAATATCGTAGGGAGTATAATAGATTGAATATATATTTTTTGAACTTTTTATTACTCCCTATTTTTAAAGCAAAATGTATGTCTAGCATAAATTTGAATATTCTAAAAGTAAATGTCCACAATTCATAAACATGCAACTAGGATCATCAATATACATATTTCAATTCGAATACAAAGTATTGAACTCAACATGATTTCACCTATTTACCAGCTCTACCAATACCATTTTTCTTTTTTTATTTTAGTAAGTGGGGCCACTTTTTCACTTCCTAGCATAATGCTTGTTTCCTTGTATAGCTGCCCTGCCTCCATTAAGGAAGCACATATTTAACCTGCCTAGTTTTGATGCTTCTTCTTTGAATTTTATTACTTATACTTTTCTGTGTTCATTAATATCTCTCTAAAACATCCAATCTCCATTCTACCCTCTCCTCCTCCTCCTCCAATCTTTCCACTCTGGGGTTCCAAGAATATTGGTAAATTTCACATCTTTGGGTGAAAAAGATTGAATCTTTGATAGAAAAAAATGGGTTCTTGGAGCTATGGGTGTGGTGGGGGTGATGAATCTTCAGTCCCAATGAGGGATGGAATTGGGAAGAGTAGAAATTTGTGGGATTTTGATGGGAATAATCAGCAAGGATTTGTGGAATTGGATTCCCAAGATTTGGTGAGAAAAGCTTTGGGAAATGGCTCTTCATCACATGGTGAGTCTTTAACTAGTGACAGTGGTGGTGGTGGTGGGGTAGGAAGGGCCAATGCATTTTTAAGCTCCTCATCATTATCACCTGTTGAGTCAAATTCTAGAGATTCATCACCCCTAATTGACCTGAAACTTGGAGGGTTTCTTGGTCCTCCAAAGAAGATGAACAGTGATAATAATAATGGTTCTTTGTCTTCTTCATCAGCTCAGTCATCTTCTCCGGCCAAGAGAATGCGGGCGGCCGCCGCCGCCGCGGGAGGTGTGAATTCCCAGAGCCCTCCATACTGTCAGGTCCATGGCTGCAGGAAAGATCTGAGCTCATCTAAGGATTACCACAAAAGGCATAGGGTTTGTGAGGTTCATTCCAAGACTGCTAAGGTCACTGTAAATGGTATTGAACAAAGGTTTTGTCAGCAATGTAGCAGGTCAGCTCATTCCCAATTTCCTTTTCAGTTTTATTTTTTATTTTTTTGGCAATTTTTTATTTTCATTACACTTTTCTCCCAGATTAAGCTACTAAAAATGGGGAAAAAAACCAATCTAAACTGGTTTTGTATGTGAGATTTGCTTTGATCTCATCATTATGTGTTTACTTAATGAAAGAAAACAGTTTTTTGACCAATCTATTGTACTCCTGTCAAACCAGATCTGTTTTCATGTGTACTTGCAAAATATTTGACAACTTTTACTTCCTCCGTCCCTAAATATTTGCCACACTTGTATTCCCGATGTAAAATATCAAGTTTTTTCAATTTATTTTATTTACATATTGGTATAAAAATTAAAAATAAAATTTGCATATCAAAAAACTACATGAAAAGTTCTTTAAAATAAGAGGTGTCAAGAATATTTTATTTTATCAAATGACCACTGAAAATGTAGAAATAAACAAAAGTTCCCGCGACTGCTGAAAAAGCAAACGTTGCAAATAATTTGGGACGGAGGAAGTATGTTTTTTTTAATAACTTCCTCTGTCACACTAAGTTTGAGACAAGAGAGAAAGTACACACAATTTGGTTACACTCCATTATATTGTTCCTCTTGTGCTTAATTTATATGTGCTTTTTGGGTGTTGAAGGTTCCATTTGCTGGCTGAATTTGACGATGGCAAACGCAGTTGCCGGAAACGTTTAGCGGGGCATAACGAGCGTCGAAGGAAGCCTCACTCCGCCAGGGGAGGGAGGCTTTTTCAGACATTTGCTGGTAAATAAATAAAATGCCCTTAGTTTTCATTCTTGATGAGATATGATTATTTTACTTTTATGCCCTTAGTGACATGCAAATAAACTTTGCAGTTCCGTTGACACTGGTTTTTAATGTCATAGGATGACATCGAGCTCCTACGGTGTCAACAGAAACGCACCCTTAAGTGATTTACAAAAATATTTGTCCTCTTAAAATGATGATGAGATTATGGCTAACGGGTTGGGGCAGGGTTGGGGGTTTACCGGGGGGTTAGGGGGTAGGAATCGTCAATTTTACGAACAGGGTACCGGAGTGCCCAGGGTCATCCCATGGGGTGTGGTTAAAGCTTAAAGCATGTTTCAACCTTAAAGCTAGAGCTAGTCAAAAAGTTGTTAGTTATAAGTATTTTTCTCTGCTAAAAATTGCATCTGGTACCAGTTTCTTTATCTTATTCTTGCACTTGCTTTTTTTTTTTTTGCTTTCTTAGTTGAAAAGAGATCCTCACCACGAGGGCCCCACTCCTGTTGTTTGGATAATGGCTCCACAATTCTTGCCTAAAAATGATTGTTTCTTAAATATTGCAGATTTGTTTTGAGGCCCCGTTTGGTATACGGAATTCAAATTATGTAATTGGAATTAAGGACTTCAATTTCAATTGTAGTGTTTGGTAGCACAAAATGTGGATTTAGAATTGATAGTGCAAAAAATGAATTGGAATTGGTAGAATTCAATTCTATGGAATTGAATCCAATGAAATTTCAATTCCAATTCCGTCAATTCCGTATACCAAACGGACACTGAAAACATTTAAGCTAAACGATGTGATTAGGTAACCTTTTCAAAATGCTAAAATACAAATGGAAATGTGCTGAATTGCTACCAACGTTAACCGTGAAAAAAATTTGCAGGTACAAGGTTTCAAGGGGCAGCTTTTTCCACATTTTCTGTCATTCGCCAGGACGTATTGCCCGGAAACGTTATGCATCCGCACAGATACGAGATGAATGTCTGGCACGGGAATGTGAAAGTTGAGGAAGGGACAGATTCCAGTCCCCAACTGTCATCAATTCCCATGCAAAACAGACACATTCCGCCGCCAAAATCACTTTATGACGGCGGAATAAGTGACATAACTAGATGCAGGATTAGTGAGAGTAATAGTAATAGTAATAATGCATGTCATATCAACACCTCATTCCAAAGAAGTATGAGCTGTTTCGATTTGTCTTCTTCGTTGAGTCTCCACCAAAGCATCTCGCGTTCGCGACGTGCTCCCTCTCTTCTGTCACCCGTGTCGCGGGCCCCGCCTTCTTGGGCCGAAAACCATCACCATTACGACATCGCGCGAGTGTCCGAGAAGCTGACGAGTGCGATGTCAAATGCAACTAATAATGATGTCCAACAAGGAATGAACTCTCGCAACAACTCAGTTGGGTCCCACGATAGTAGGGTTTGGGAAGAAATGAACTCTTGCGAGCAGATGATGTTGTTTTCGGACAACGGGCCGAGCGACTCGATCGATCACGTTGTTCGAGGATCGGATAACTGCGGTCGGGATGGGCCGACCGCGGATTTGCTTCAGCTGACGTCACAGCTCCAGAGAGCGGATCATGAGGATGATGAGAGGCAAAGGAAGCAGGAAAGCGGTCCTTTCTCTGGCTTCAGAATCACTTCAATGGTAATCTATTATTTATGCTTCATTTGGCTTTGAGCTTTTTGGTAATTCTGCTGTCTGGTTTTGGAAAATCAAACTTTTTTTTTTGTGAGAGAGAGAATCCTCAAACTGAATTTTTCATTATCTTAAACATAAAAACACTACTTTTTGTTGGATAAATTTTACTGACTGCACGCACCCGAATTTTGAGGGATATATCATTTTAGTCGTCAAACTTTAACTGGAAAATCAAAATTAATATGAGAAAAAGAAAAAAAAAGTGTCCTGATACCCTGCTAGTATCATAGTAATTTGAAAACCGGTTTCAGGTATTGTTATGAAATTTTTCCAAAATTCAGATATTTTGCAAAAAATAAAATTTTAGGTACTAAAATAATCTATTGCTCAAAGTTCGAGTATCATCCTATCATTAGTCAAATTTTTTGTTAATGTGATAGGCCGATTCCAAAAATCCGGTGATTTTCAAAATGTCTGGTATTCCGCCTTACTTCATTTTGTCTAAACTAATTTAACATTTTTTAAAATACTGAGTGCAATATGTGAATGACATTTCTTTGTTTTGTACTCATTCCCTCTCTAAAAACGTGTCGTGTTTTTCTCTTTCAAGTGTCCCTAAATCATGACAATAAAGAAAGTACTGAGTGGCTCAAATTATTTGTCATATACAATACGATTTTACCTTCCTTTTTTTATTTTTAAATTCCACCAAAGTCAATCCACGACATTTAGACCCTAATTTGAAATTTCATAATTGAATGTTAGAAGAAGTTAGGAGTTAAAAATTTTTTGAGTGTAAA